GCACGGTGGCTGAGTGGATAGCACTCTCGCCTCTCAGCAAGAAGGTCCTGGGTTCGAATCCCGGCCGGACCAGGGCCTTTCTGAGTGGAGTTTGCATGTTCTCCCCGTGCATGCGTAGGTTTCCTCCGGGTACTCCGGTTTCCCCTACCACTAATAATATGTCCAATAGTTCTGGCATGTTCTTCCTGTACTGGCGAACCCGCTCCCATCTCTGTGTGGAGTGAGAGACAAATGCTCAAAATTAACAATTGTAAACCGCTTTGAGACTCAGATCTGCAGTGAAAAGGTGGTATATACAGTAAATAAAAACTTACTTACTTACCCAGGATACGCATCCAACATGATCTATCATTTAAGATAATAGATAATAAATTGCTCCTCCATTTCTGACTAGTACGGGTCCACGAAGTGTGGCCGCTAAAATCTGGAACAGTCTTCTTGAAAATACTTTTACTTCATACTGACAGTGCCACTGGGTGAAGATAGAAAGATTGTATCAACATATTTATTTTCAACATATGTAGGATTTGAATGGCTCCGTTCTTGTTATATGCGAGTTCAGTTTGAGCACCTTGAGTTGCCTCATGTATGAACTGTGCTCTACAAATAAACTTGCCTTGCCTTGTACAGAACTTTGTAATGTTTGATGGGTCTAAGAGTTTACGTTACTTTGATTCATGATAAAGCGAGAAAGCAGCTAAACCATTTCACCCTTCGATGGGAAACATTCAAGGCAATTAGTGAGTTTTCTCTCTCGAGTGCAGGATGAAAATGTGAAATTATGAGACAATGTTTGTTCAATTACATCAGATGTGAGGACTTAAAGTGGATTGATTTCCTGGAGGCTTGGTTGCAATTCTCCATAAAAGTATATTAAACCAAATGTTACACAATTTGAACTTTCACCTTGTTTTAATGCTGTTCCTTTGTCATAAGTTTTACACGTCGTGTTGATGGATCCGTAAGTAATCCTTGTGATACTTCTCTGATAACCTATCCTGCACATGCACAAACAACAGAAGAGAAGTCATGCTGTTTTAAAAATACAAAAGCTATTTTTAACAATAGAATAGATATATTTTGATAAATTATTAACGTTGACATGTTCCAAGCCCAGTGCGCTGCAGCAGAGTGGTTTTCATCCAGGCCACAGCTGTATGTTTTTGTTAATGGAAAATGTTGTGGTTAGAAACTAAAACATTTTGACGTTATGCAAAATGTGTGTCCTTTAAAGTTCAAGAATGCTCCTTTTAGCCCTATTCTAATCATAAACAAACTTCTCCAGAGGGCAACGACATAATGCACTCATTACTTTTCTCTATCTACCATATGTTCACAGGAGACTGCAGAAACATGCCACTGTGAAACTCACTCCAAATACATATATTTTTGTGACAAAAAATACTTTATGTCACACTATTTTATCTGGTGGATAAAAAAACCCACAATAAAACAACCCATATTGTATTCCCTATTTGGGAAATTGTATAGTGTACACATCAAGAAAGAGTGGAAACAGTATCAGGAAGTAAATGTGGCTCACACCAACGCAAATCAATGCTAAGGAGGTAGATAGATGGATAGATACTTTATTGATCCCTGTTGGAAAAATGGAAGTGTCCAGTAGCAGCAAAGAAATTTAATTAAATTGATCATTCCAAAGCTAACAATAGTAAATAATCAGCAACAGGTCTTCAGGTCACAGCAGGAGAGATGCAGCAGCCTCTGGGTGGAGCAGGACAGGTCACATGGTGGAGTAGCCGCTTGGTCCGGACCATTTTCTCTGCTCTATTCCAAAGTAAAAGGCCAAATGCTTAATTAGCATTTTTCAAAAAATGTGCATTCCTCCAGTGGATATTCACCTGATCCGCTTGGTTCGAACCATGAATCCTCTCCGATCTGGTCTGGACCAGTGTAAAACCAGGAATACTGAACTGCAGCAACATCCCAGGTAGCAAGATAAATAAAAATTGTAAAGCACAAAACAACAACTGTTTCAGAGCTACTTAGGACCTGCTGCTGTTTTTCAGTGTGTTCAAAAGAAAAGTAAAAGTAAAGTGATCAACAGTGTTTGTCTATTTGTCTAATTGTGTGTGTGAGCAACATAACTCCAAAGTGTACAGAAGGATTTTGACGAAATCTCAGTGAACTAGTGATTTTATGGAGGTGATCAGAATCACTGTCTTGATGATGTTTTTAAAAGTATGGAATGCTCTATAAGTGCTTTACGAGTGCATTTCTAGTATTTATTTTTAAGGATAAAGGTGCATGTAGGCTACTTAAAAATACCAGTCAGAACACTCATTTGTGGGAATACACTTACATCAAAGGAATACACCGAGCTATGACTAATTAGAACGCATTCAAATACCGTACTTGTGCTTTGGCACTTGTTTATCCTGTAATCAAGTGCAATGAACCATACAGTTGACATACTGCAAACATGCACTTGAACACAGTTCCCGCCCACATGCCTCACACTGCACTTTGTAAACAGCTCATGAGACGAAGCATTGGGGGAATTATCTGGTGGCAGTCCTCCGTGAGCTTTGGGAAATCCACCTCCTGAGACCCGCCGAACTACCCCCTGGAGCTGCTCTGGGCCAGTCTGAGAAAAACAAGAGCGTTTACCACCGTACTACACCAGTGCTAGTGGTACTTGTTGTGCAGGGGTTGAGTAGTTTGCAAATGGAGCGTGGATAGTGGAGGAGGCACAGGATCAACACGCAGAGGGGGAGGGAACCAGCCCCTGGCACAATCATGTTAGCTTCACTGGGAGGAAAAGACAGGAAAATACATTATATTAAAACAAATATACGTACATGATTGGAATGGCTCAGAAGAAAGGAAAACACAAAAGTGAAGTTGAGACATTATTTTAGGTCTATGACAGGTTAGGCATGAGAAATGTAAGTTGATTGCTGTGGTGCTGTGCTGGCACTTTGTTTTTTAATGACATACATTGATGGTTAGTCAAAAAAAAAAGTATAATAATTTAGGTTCATGAAGTGATTTGACAAATTAATTAAAAGATTAATCTAACCATTTGGATCACTTTTTGAGTCTATATCTATTTAAGCATATAACAGAAATCTACCTCACTGGGGCATTGCTATCACTTTGTTTATCAATCAATCAATCTTTATTTATAGGGCGCTTTTCCTGCACAGGGCAACACAAAGCGCCTCACAGTCCACACCACACAATGCACAAATCATCACCATTAAAATACAATTAAAAACACATATGTAATTAAAAAGCATTAAAATCACATAAGTAATTTAAAAACATAAAAATCACACAAGTAATTAAAAACAATAAAATAGTTAAAAACACAAAAAGTTACAACAATAAATAACAAGGTGTGTTAAAAAGATAAAATTCTCTAGTTGTATGCACGGGAAAAAAGAAAAGTCTTTAACATGATTTGAACATTGACAGAGAGGCAGCCAGTCTCACATCCTCAGGAAGACCGTTCCAGACTCCAGCTGCATAAATCTGAAAAGCAGCCTCCCCCTGTCTAGTCCTGACTCTGGGCACTAACAGGAGTCCCGTCCCTGCGCTCCTCAGAGTCCGGGCTGGTTCATATGGGACTAGCATGTTTAAGGCACTTTTACCATCAAACTAAATCCTATAATAAAAAAAAGAAAAGAAACTACAGGTTAAAAAAACCAAACATAAAAACCAATTATTTATTTGGTTTAAAATAAAAAAGTAACATTTACATTGCTTTCTTCAAGGAGTAAACAATAAAGGGTTAAAGATATAATTTAATTTTCATTGTTTTTTTTCTGTGTTCCGTCTTTAGTATAAACATGATGCAACAACTGTAAGAGCAATCGCCTCGGGACAAATGTGCATCTCCCCATCTACAAGACTCACAGAGGGATACGGGCATCTCAGCACGCGCTCCTTCATGCTCTACAAAGCTTTCCAAGTTTTTTTTAGATTTCTAATTTCTTTCTGCCTCATTCTGCTCATCCTGACTGCCAACATATATATTTACACACTTGACCGGGCGCGGAGAAACCCCAAACAGACAGGACCAAAGCCACCGCTGCTGCCGACGCACACAATCTGAAAAGAAAAAAGAAGAAAAGATTTTTTTTCCAGACCGAGGAGAGACAGACCCCGCTGTGCGCTCTTTAGGCTGGCACGGCTCTGCTATGTGAGGATGTGCAGAAGTGGCAGAGGCAGTTGCGTTCCGTAGCAGCAGTAGTAGTTGTAGTGTGAGTAGCAGTAGTTAAAAATCATGCATGTCTTTAAACTAGTCTTTTGGATGGAGCTCTTTGGATTTTTTCTGGACGCGTGAGGGATTACAGCTGTTGTAGTAGCAGTGGTAAAGCCTTCTTCTAAGTAGTTTCTTTGAGGGTGACACGTGGATGCTGGAAGTAGCCCCGGTAGCAGTATAGTAGCAGTATAGTAGTAGTAGTAGTAATAGTAATCGTTTTGGATGGATCTCTTTGGACATTTCCTAAGTGCGTAAGTGATTACAATTGGAGTAGTAATAGTATTCATAGTGTTTGTATTACAAAGTAGAAGTGGAAGACACATGTGTTTTACCCCAGTCCCAGCAGTGATGTTGTTCACTTTGGATTGCCAATCTAATATTGCTTGAATGCAGAGATTAACGGTTTTAATTGTAGGATTATTGATATAACATGTGGATGCTTTAATTTTTAGTAAGTAGAAGCGTTATTTTTTTTATGATTTATTCTCTGGATGATCCCAGGATAAATGGTGGAGTAAGATTTAGGAATAACCTGTTGAGTGGATGCGTCCAGCAGTATAGTTGCACAAGTAGAAGCGTCTGTGTAAAGAGTAATCTCTGGCTAATAGAGGAAGAGGTAAAAGTAGTAGAATAATAAGTGAAACTAGCACTCTCTCAAATCGCAGAAGAGGTAGATCCCTGGAGCTTCACACGTGTATGGAATAGCTGTAGTTGTAGCAGCAGTCGTGCCTCTGGATGCTCGGTGGGTGCCTGGGATGTGTCTGGGAGCATGACTTCTGAATCGGGCGAGTATGACATGGTTTGTCAGAGAGCGGTGACGCTGATCGTGGACCTGTGCCTTCACAACAGCTCTCTGCTTGAGTCTGACGCCTGCCAGGACTTTATCTTCCTGCTCAGCGGACACGGCCGTCAGCACAGGCAAAGCGGTAAGATGCGACAATGTTTTCAACCACACACTTGATGTTTCATGGAGGGATCTCCTGTGATCAAACGCTGCTTGTGCAATATCAGCAAAAGAGCCATGTTTTCATTGATTATAACCTATTTGACAAAAGAGTATGGGTAACTGCGTTCATGTTGAAATGAAGTTTAACTTTGAATGAACAAATGTCACTTTGTCTAAAAAGAAAACTTGTCAATACTTTTAAGAAATAGCCATGTATGATGTTTGCCTTCATCAAAGGAAACACTGGACACTTTTGTCCTGGTTAATGCTGAGATTCTTGATAAAGTTTTCTGCACAGTGAGGCCCACCACACGTCTTTCAGATCCAGTCCCCAGTTTTATGAATCTTTAAGATAGGAGCGTATAAACTTGATGAATTTCTCCCTTCAGACTTGAGTCTTTCCAGCAGCCTTCAAAAACCAGCTGTGGTGAGACCCCTTCTGAAGAAGAGCAATTTAGATTTTAACAACTATAGAGCAGTCTCCAACTTACCATTTTTAAGCAAAATTTCACATTTTAGAGAAATATTAGTCTGGTTTTAGGGTGAACCACAGCACAGACACTGCTCTCTTAAAGATTTTAGATGATTTTGGTTTCAATTATGACTCCCAAAAGTTGACAGTGTTGGTTCTATTGGATCTGTGCTATTTTTGACACAGTAAAGACCACACTATTCTTCTATCTCGCCTTAAGCATCTTGGCCTCTCTGGTGCTGGCCACAAATAGTTCACTTCATATTTATCAGACAAATCGTTCATAGTAAGTTTGGATACCTGCTCCTCCTGTATGCAAATAACTTTATAATTACACTTTGATTGACTGATTGATAATAAGGAAGGGTGCTCAAACTGTATCCAAACAAGATCTACTTTTCCTGCAGCAAGTAAATTCAGTGAACAATTCAGAAACTCATGATTTGGTTTACTTTGGTTCCCACCTCTGCACCTTCTCCACCGACTCCCACTGATGACTGCTGTCGTTGTGTCCTTGGGCAAGACACTTAACCCCACTTTGCCCAAAGCCCCCACTGAAAGATCAAGGCTATGCTCACACTCAGAGAGCAGCCGTCCTCCTGTGGACTCACCACCTGCAGAGGGTCAGTGAGGGGCTGGTGCTATGAGACTTGGGTGGCAGCTTTGATTGCCACCCCCCTGACCCAGAAATGGATTAAAGGGTAGAAAATGGATGGATGGATGGATGGATGATTTGGTTTACTTTGGTCCACAATTATTCGTGATTCATGAATCTGTGTAGAAAGTAATACATTTTGTCTTTAATTCTATTTTGTTGTTGATAAATGACATGTTCCTTTATTGAATAGAAGACCTGGAGTATCTCCAGAACCTGCTTTATCAATGCGTATGCTCTGCACGTGGGCTTATGTACAGTCCGCAGTGACTCCATCGCTGGCTCTCGCACTGCCGCTTTCTGCTCAATTATCTCGTGGGATGTATGCGCTATCAAGGAGTAATTCTGTTTGCATAGTCCAAGAGGAGATGGCATTTAAGCCACATTAAATAATGCCACATTCTTTGTCACACAAATTCTTTGGAAAACCATGAGTTTGCCCTGATGTGTGTAAAGGGGTGTCCACATTAAAGGTCCCATATATTTCGCTCTTCTTCATGTTTCAAAGTCCATGCTAAGCACATGGGTGATAATAATTACAACTCTCAAAACTTATACAATTATTTCTTGCATAGAAGTGATGTCACCTGAATTGAAACAGCTGGTTCTCTGCTCCTCTACCTGTGAGACCGCCTCCCCCCCACCGGTGCGGTGACATAACCAAGACCACAGTCCTCCTCCTCCCTCCCACTCGGGGATGTACTTACAGATCAAGGCTCCTCGTTATCATCTTTTATTTTGGGAATAACACAAGGTTTAATGGCAACATTAGTTCTGGAAACAGTCTTAAGTGAAGTGTAACTTGAAGATAAACAGATTAGTTACCTCGTGAATAAAGTTGAGCAACATTCACCGCATTGCTTTGTCTTTGGGCAAGCCATACACTCGTCACATACAGCACTGACCAAAAGTTTGGACACACCTTCTTATTCAAAGAGTTTTTCATGATTATGAAAATTGTAGATTCACACTGAAGGCATCAAAACAATATACTAAAACAAGTGAAAATTCTCGGTTCTTAAAAGTAGCACCTTTTGCTCTGATTACTGCTTCACACACTCTTGGCATTCTCTTGACGAGCTTCAAGAGGTAGTGACCTGAAATGGTCTTCCAACAGTCTTGAAGGAGTTCCCAGAGATGCTTAGCACTTGCTGGCCCTTTCGCCATCACTCTGTGGTCCGGCTCACCCCAAAACCATCTGGATTGGGTTCAGGTCTGGTGACTGTGGAGCCCAGGTCATCTGGCCCAGCACCCATCACTCTCCTTATTGGTCAAACAGCCCTGACACTGCCTGGGTGTGAATCTAAGTCAATAGTCACGAAAAGAAAGGAAACTCATTAAATGAGAAATTGTGTCCAAACTTTTGGTCTGTAATGTATTCACTCTCAAAAACACATGTTCTCCAACTTGACATGATGCTAACACTTGTAGTTAAACAACAGAGCTTGATGTGAAGACTGTGGTACTCACGGCTTGATTCGTGGGCGTGTCTGTTTTGATTTCTCCCCCTGTCAATCAGTGCTGAGCGCCTCCTGGAGGCGGGCTTCTCCAGCTCAGTGCTACGTCACGAAATGTTGCCGCAAAATGTAACCAAGGTGTTATGCTGCCTCTTGAGACTACTTTGAGCCTATTTATCAAGGCAAAATAGCACTGTAATGATGTTTAAAGCATAGAATTGTCAAAAAGTAATATGGGACCTTTAACCAAAAACCCTGGGTTGTCCTTTCAATTCCCACAATGTTTTATATTGTGTGAATTGGCAAAAAACAAAGTGCCTTTTCATAATGACCATCAATAAATAACCCAATAATAGATACAAAATGCTAGTATAAATATTTGTCTATGAAATTAAATAAGTGAATTAGTAAATTTAATTATCATAAGATTTGATGACAGAACAGAAACAATGTTGCGTTTGGTTGTCATTAAACATGCGTTTTGGTGACGAATAAATTGTTCTTTTTGGGACATGCTTAATTTGTGCAAACAAACGCTTTCTTAAGCACGCATTGATCCGCCACATTTAAACAAAACTACATGATACGCAGATTTTAATTTACAAGATAAAGTTCAACATAGCATTTAGCACTTTAATGAGCGGCATCACACCGATGTTTATCACTTTTTACCTCGTGGTTTATCATCAGAATAACTTCCCTGATGAACCAAGGCTTGACACAGTGACATCCATGCTTCAGACAGCTGCTTTTGGCACCATTCGTTTATATTTCCCCTTTAGTCTCAGCTACTGAAGTGATTAATTCAAACTTAATGAGTTTTCTGACCCAAAGCAGCAGGGAGCAAAAGGTGCGTCAAACTAACTTACCCCGTCGCTTCCACAGTGTGTCCTTTGAGGCCTAAGCTGCACTGATAAGATTAGAGAAATTTGTTGGATTTATGCACATAGGAAAACCTTAACAAGAGCCCCTGTTTTTACACCACATTTTAGGCATGTTAATGCATGTGCATTGATGACTTTCCAGTGAATGAGGGATTGCACATCTGTTGCTGCCGATATGAATCTGTTGCGTTGGCACTTGTAGCCAAACAGCTTTACTGCTTTAATGGATGTACTGCATCTTTTCCTCTCTATGCATTGAAGAAAAAATATTCAATTTAATATAAAGGTATTATATGGTGATATTTAGTGGTATAGTTGTGGCTAAGCGTAAGTAATAATGAATAACATTATTACTATTTAATAACATTAATTATTACTATTTAATAACTATTTAATAACATTAAACAAGACCAGCAACGCCACCCCATAAAGGGGAAAATAAAAAGTATGTTTATGAAAACAAAAGCTTGTTATTTATTGATATTACATTTAGTTTAAATTGGAATGTTTAGAATGAACAAATTAACATTTCCAATCATTCACAGGGCAACAGTCTTTAAGGATCAGTCTTCATCGAGCACTATCTGCTGAAGTAAGATACGATAGGCTAAAAAAGGGGAAGTTGCTGTGGTATACATATGTGGGATAAGTCCATGAGTTTAGGAACTTGAAAGATATTTGACTATTTGATAATTTGACCCTAACCAGCACAGGACAAGGCTGAAGACATATACGAGGTGTGGTGAGACAAGGTGGCCCTGCTCCATCTCAGCTCAAACTCAGCGCTACCATTAACGGTGGGGAACCGACCCATGGTGTGGGGTCTGGACCGCAGTATGGGGCCACATGTTCACCATTACACTGGGATGAAGTAACACCAGCACAGAGGAGAAAATGTGCGTAGGCGCGAGGTTAAAGCGTGCTCTTTACTGCCATTTTCTGGTGGGGATAACACCTTCTCCTGGACTCCACCACAGATTGTTTGTATGATAATATCATGCACAGTTTGTGTGTCCACAGTCATCTCCATGTCTGTCTTTTTTCTATTCCGGATATACAGCACTGAAATTGCTTGAAACATGGGTCACCTCTTCACAGGTCTGGGGACGTAACAAGATCAGACAATCACTACAATAAACTAGATTATAAAAGATTAGTCTAAAGTTACAGACTCCATTTACCCGTGAATGCGTTGATGTGCTGATGTTATTGCTCATCCCCAATACTCAGCATTGTTTCTCTAAGTGATTTGGAGAGAGGAAGAAACTGAACATGTTTTCATATTAATGTGCCATATCCCTGATTTGCTTATCCACCTGCCAATCACACAGATATGAACTATGGGATCGGTGACCAGAGTCCTATAATCATAAGCTATTGGACAAGTGTGTATTCAAGAGCTCAGGTAAAATTCATTGGTTGATTGCTTTTGCACTGACTGAGTTAAGAAGATGCCATGTTCTCCTTTTTGAAGGCTAAAAAACTCATTATAGCTCTATAAAACAAGTGCTGCTAGTAGTTCAACGTACTCCAAGCCTGAGAGTTTTAAGTCATTACAAATCAAACGATTAATCAAGGAAATTGAATTAAATAAACCATTTTGTGAAAAAAAAAAAAAAGTGCACATGAATTTGTGCTTAAGTCTCACCAAAAACACATTTTAAGCCCTGGTTGTTGACAACATGAGGACTAAGCTTTGACTGCAGCAAAATCTGATTCTGTGAAGAGCACATGTCTTCTGCTGAGAGCTGACTCTTTCTAGTTAACATAATCCAACGCAAAGATGTTAAAAATCCAAAATATCCCCATTTAAACCCCTCCCCACGGCCCAAGTGCTTTGTAGAGTATACTTTTACCCCCGTCAGCATATTCACAAGACATACACATTTTGTCCTATGTTTTATTCTACATTTTCCAGTACTTGTCAGACGGACGTTGGTTCAAACCTCCTGTCAGTTTGTGTCTGGATCACATGATGAGTTTTAACGTGCGTCGCGGTGCCAGTGGCGGCTGGGGCTCGGGACATGCCACAGTGTGTTATGCGTGGGCAGCGGTGGATGGGCAGTGCCACATAAATGCATAAGACAAGATGCTGTGACGATGGTGGAGGTTGGGGGTGGGATGAACTGTCTGTTTGAGCCATTCCAATCCATAGATTTGACTGCAGGCTGCTATAGAGGGATGTCATTTATGGTAACAAGCTGCCATATTGTCTTTCACTCATTTTTTGTTTTCTTTAATAAAAAAAAAGATAATATGTTAGGAAATAATTGTTTGAATCGAGTTGTTTTTTATCTTAATTTGAGATCCTTCTGAATGTCCAAAAACAAGATTTGCCATTGGGACAAAGCCAATTAGTTGCTTTATTTTCTCATTCCAAGGGAAATATTTCTTTTATCTTTTTAAAACAAGAAAATTTTGCTTGTCGCATTGGCAAATCTTGTTTTGGGACATTCAGAATGATCTCAAATAAAGATGAAGTTTGCCAAATTTTGAGAATGTTTTGACTTATTTGTCATCACTTTTTGTAAGTAAGTAAGTAAGCTTTATTTATACACCGCCTTTCACAGACCAGAGTCACAAAGCGGTTTACAATTGTTATTTTTTGGGCACTTGTCCTCTCACTCCACACAGAGATGGGAGCGGGGTCGCCGAACAGGAGGCGCATGCCAGACCTATTGTACATATTTTTAGTGGTAGGGGAAACCGGAGTACCCGGAGGAAACCTACGCAGACACGGGGAGAACATGCAAACTCCACTCAGAAAGGCCCTGGTCCGGCCGGGATTCTTCTTGCTGAGAGGCGAGAGTGCTATCCACTCAGCCACCGTGCCACCACACTCAGATTTTGCAGTTATTTAAAATCTATATGCAAATTTGACATGTTCATGCCATGACATTTTTTTCAACATTTCAACACTGCAATGGGCTCGTGGAGAAGTATGAATGGGCTCATAGATACATCTATCTATACAGATATACAGTGATAATTTCCAGATAGGATCACTTTTCTTTTCCAGTAACAGATTATTACCTGGTCTGGATCCAGGACTTAAGAAACTGCTCCTCTTGGTGGAGGTCTGCACCATACGAGCACTTTTCTTGTATTAAATTGTGCTCTGTGACGCACAAGTTTGTTTCTTCCGCACTCTAGCACAAGGAGCAGAGGAGCGTGGGCCGTGCTGGTTAACAAAAAGAACTTTTACACTGTACAGACGGAAAGTGAAGTCAGTGATGTGAGCGACGAGCTTCTTTACATTTCAGAGCATGCTGCAGCAGAGAGACAATGTGGGGAAATGATGATGAGAGCAGAGGCGCTCTGAGTGCGGCGAGTTGAACAGAAGTTTTATTCGAATGTTGAGTGACACTGCTGAGGCGACAGCCACTCACTGAACACCTTTGGTCAGAGCCTTTTAAGTGAACTCCCTGTAGGGCTGAGAGACACCACTGGACACTTCTTTTAGGTCTGAACGCTGTGGTAAGCATCACTAATACAGACCCACATGTGGACAAATGAAGATGCATCTTCGTCAGGGCATTTTTTTTGTATTTTTCCTTTTTAAGCCTTTTTAAGTAATGAAGAGAAATGTTTTGAATGCTAGCACCAGATGGTAGGTCCACCCGAGCAGCCTCAAAAGCAGAGTATAAGGTGCCGTTTTGAAGAATGTATATTTTTCCAAAACAGCCTTCTTTGTGAGCGGTGCAGTCTATGAAACATTCTACGTGTCCATTTAAAATCGGTGACAAAGCTTGGCATGCTCAAAAAAGAATTGAAAGGCGAGCTCCCTCAACATTGGTTAAATCATTCTCCTTTAGGTTAGAGTACAGGGCCACATCATCAATGTGCACTGAAATACAAGTTCATGATTTATTTTTCTATCCGGGGAAAATCTGGTGAAAGTCCGGTAAAAAAAGATATAAATCCTTTCCAAAGTGAACATTCCCATATTGTTATGTGAGGGGACATGATTCCCATTTCTATAATGGATTGAAAGAATACCATAATTTGGGTTATCATTACCAATGAGTCTCTATTTAAATCTGTAAGTAGATAGAACTTTGTTGTGTAAGTAAAAAAGTAAATAGTTCCACATCCTTTCCTTCATCCATAGACAAACATACATCTTTCTATCGCCCTGAATTGTATTTTTATTGTATTTGTAACCAAAATTAAAACATATTCTCAAGATCAAGTTCACAACACAAACCTGAAATATTTGCCTCCGTTATATTTTACATTGTCTTTGTTAATGTTAATGAGAGCATTTTCCTATACTGTAGCAATCTTTTCTAAATCACTCTTTATTGTCCTTGGTGCAGTGACATTGTGGAATTGCCCAGTGGGGGTGTGATCATTAAATTACATTACAACTGTCTATTACACAAAGATGGGTTAGAATAGCAGGCTTAATCTTCCTTTACACAATGCATCAGGACATTTCAAGGTTGCTTTTGTAAACCTTTTCAGCCGCTCATGCACTTTATTACATGTTCACGTGAAAATAAATCATGGCTTGTAGCTATTTGAGTCGTTTTAAATCCAGGTAATCCAGGTAATTGTTATTTGTGGATGATAATAATGAATGATTGGATGATTTGATAATGAAAATAATGAAGTTTATTGGAAATCGTTCAAGCAGAGAATTTGAATCGACTTGTTCCTTTTGAATATGTTGGACGCATTTTAATGTAATTTAATGTAATTTATACTATAGCGATAGCAGCTTTGTACCCTCTCAAATATATATATTTATCTCTGTTGTACATTATATCCTTTACAAAGCAATATTGCAAAACTGGTTGGACGATAAACTGCATTTTGTTGCATTGTTCTGACTTTGTAACGACAATAAAGTTGAATAATATCTAATTTAATAATTTGAAGTACAGACCAATTGGGAGAAATAGGGATTAGACATGTTAGCTCAATTTCCATGTCACTGAATCCATACTGTCTTAAAATATCTAATGGAAAAACAATTGACTTATACATTGGACATTTGCTCCACAACTGTAAGCTGAAACCTCACAGGAAATTGCTCTTTGATTTTTTATTGTCGTTTAGGAGCCAAGAAGATCATAAACATTTCTATCTGTGCAGGGAGAAAGACCCCACGCAACTTCTCCACATTTGACATATCCCACTGCCTTTGCGCTCTCTCGCTGCACTGCTTTCTCTCATATTTGCAGCTCTGTGACTAATCTGTTCTTTCGGGAAAAAGCTGCCTTCATTTGTACTGTTGTTATTGGCATGATGCGAGTGTAGGGCCCATTAGGAGCGTATATGCGTCTGTCTGAGCTCGCAATCTCACTCACTTCACTGCATTTCCTTTGAACTTTTTTTATTTTAGATCCTTGACTGTATCACATTGACTTGACTATATTCTGAACTCAGCATGGATCTGGGTAGAACCTATAAGAGTCCCAGTTAAAGATCAGTTAAAACATATGACCTTTTATTTTGGTTAGCCAACTGACGAAACATAATCATGAGATTCCTGTAAACATGACACATTTTTTCAATAATATCTAATCTAATGATTTGAAGTCGATGTCACTTAATCAATACTATCTTAAAATTATAATGGCAAACAGTTGACTTATACATTGGACATTTGCTCCAAAACTGTAAGCTGAAACACTTCATTTGCCAGGCTGAGTGGATAGCACTCTTGCTTCTCAGCAAGAAGCTCCTGGGTTTGAATCTTGGTCGGAACAGGGTCTTTCTGAGTGGAGTTTGCAGGTTCTCCCCGTGCCTGTGTAGGTTTTCACCAGGTGCTCCGGTTTCCCCTAACACTAAAAACATGCTCACTAGGCAAATCCTTCAGCTCTGATAGTCCTGACCAAGCCGAGCATCAACATCTGGAGATGGGTTCCCGGGAGCTGTTACTACGGCGACCACTGCTCCTGACATAAGCCTTTGTGGCATCAGGATGGGTCAAATGCAGAGGATGAATTGCCCTACGGGGATTGATAAAGGGCACCTTTACCTTAAATGTAAATAGTTCTGTGTTGTGTGTCTTTGTCAATACAAGTTTTTGTTTTACCTCTATATCTTCTGCCTGCACACTACAGATGGAATCTAGGAATTTCTGCTATAATCACAAATTTTCACATTATTTACAGATGTAGGGATATCACGCTTACCGGTGTAGTGGTAAACCTCGGTTAAAATGTTGCCAATAACATTTACCGTCTTAATAAAAAAATAAAACAAGATATTACCATGCCCACGGTGTAGGTATGGTCTCTGAGTCGGCTGAAGTTGCCACGCAGGCACACTCTGTAGAATTCTACCTCTTGCTGGAATCGAGACCGAAGGAGAAGATAACAGCCTCAGGACTTTTATCAGCCTTCAAAGACGTGTGGGCATATTTTGGATTTTTAAAGAATGCAGAGGGACATCTGATGGAAGACATGGATTTTTTTCTCATTGTGCAGTCAAAACTACCCCAGAATCAGTTTGAATGTTTACCATTTGTTTACCATTTTAGGTTCATATAAGAAAAAATAATATCTGCCAAGATACACGCCTTTTGCAGGAGATTTCAAAAGGGAATTGGTTGGTAGCATATGCTGGATCATTTTACGCCCAATATCCAGCCCAATAAAATCAATTGGCTTGAATGGCCTTGGAATGAAACCCAATCCATTCGTGCTGCAAGGCAAAAGTGCTAATGATAAGTATTGAAGTCTTGGATCACCGCTCTATGAACTGTTACAATAGAAAAACTCTTGTCTCTAAAATGGCTTTCTCCATTTCACACGATGACAATTTCACATTTGCCTTCATTACTGTCCACTGCTGCAGGTGTGGGCTTCAGCAGAAAAGACTATTTGATCACATTATTTCTCGCATGCCTGTCATATTTGGAAGTTTATTAGGCACGACCTGGGCTGGCACAGGACATTAGTATCATCCCATCATTCATTTTCTTCCCACGGGTCTGCGCTTCGGACTGCAGTTTGGTGCATTGCAGGTTGAATCCAAGATCGGCAAAACAAGAACATCAAATTAACTGCTCAGTAGAGATTACGGGAGCAAACAAACCACAGCCGATTTCAATAATTCATAC